TTTATGAGAATAAGCCCACCAGGGACAAAAACCTAAAAAAAGCAAAAAACATAACAAAAATGTCAAATGCAATCAGAACAAAGAGCTTTTATGTGTTTTAGCTTTGTTCAAAAAATTGCGTTTTTCCAATTTTTTAAATTTCATTTACTCTCATTCTCGAATAACCGTTTTAAATAATCATACTGTATTAGCATAATAGTCTTTAAATCGTTAGATAACTCAAGAAGGGGCACTTCTTATTAAAGAACCGACAACATATATATTTTGTTCTTCATATTATGCCACTTTTCCTAGATGAGTATCAGAATTTTTTACATTAATCACGGCTTTTTTATTTTAAATACTTAGATGTTTTCTGATTTTTTTAATAACCGTTTCGTTATGTGTACAATATAATAATTATAATAATGTATACACTGAATATTATTTTTTTAAAGAATTATCGATAAAAATAACAAATGTGACGCGTACCCACTCGAGTATAATGTAAACATTAAAAAATTATTATTGAATTCCATGTACGACTCGAGGAGAAAAACACTTTCACGTGCCTTGATAAAAAATACAAGAAAAAAAAAATATATCGAATATGTATTCTGTATTTATATTTTATTATGTATGCATTAAATTTGTTTGCAATCGACTTTACATCGAAGACAAAAACCGGCTGCTGCTTTTGACACGTTTAACAAAGCCTTTCCGTTTGGTCTTAAGGCCTTAAGTACAAAGTGAAAACTGACTTAAAGTCGGATTTGTCTAAACGGTAGCCTAAATTACTTTAATATTAGACACTCCGAGACGACACCAATGTCAAATGTGAACATATACCAAAACAGATTTAAATTTGGCTCGATGCCTAACGATTATTAAATTACAGAAAACATATCGCTTACAAAAATCTTCAAAATTTTCCATTCAACTACTGTTGCTAAACACCGTACTGTTGTGTTTAAAATAACTGTACTAATTTGCAAATAATTATAGCATTAGTAAACCAAAGAGTACTAATTGGGCACAGCTCTATCGACTTTGAAAACTAACAAGAAACTTTTAATGTTTTTAGACACGAAAAAAGTCAATAAATAAATCATCAAAAAATATTAATTGAAAATGTTTTCAAATTACACAACAGTATACAAATATATTTCTTTCCTTCTGATTTTTTATTTTTACTAAAATTTTCAGTAAGGCAAACTTATTTATTAGGAAAATAAATAACTATATCTCAAAAAAAAAAAAAATTAACTGAAATGTTTATAGGTACTTAGAGGTAATGAAATACCAGTCAAAAATATAATATTATTATACAAATTACTAAATAATAAAGTGGTGATAAATCTTATTAAGTACCTTTAGGATCTTGCCACATCTGACTTGCTATACAAAGAATATGATGTGTCTATATAATTATTAGGAAACCCAGCTGAATGCTGATCAACCCTAAACGTGTCCACTCTAATTAGTAACAATACAATTTTAAGCTCATGTTGTTTGTATAATGATTTTTAGCGTTTTTTTTAATAATCCTTCCATCTATGGATTAGCATTTAAGCTTTTATTTGAAAGTGATAATATAACTTTCAATTACCTATACATCCTACAGCTCTATCTCCGCTGTACTGGCTTTTTACTAGTCGTGTATTAGATTCACATGTTTTATATTTTAAAGATACAATATTAATCACTTTATTGTATTACCTCACATTATTGAATTGTGAGTGGACACTGTTCGTATGGAAGTTATTTGAAATATAAACATGACAGAGGGTTGTTGGTTCTTACATACTGATTACCATTATAGCGGTTTAATTTATTTTATCCGGCACGTTTTTAGGCTTGTAAAACGTCCACGAGGGAAACGTGTATAATATAATAATATGCCTAAGTAAAATAATGGAATTGCGTTACAATGAAGGGGGAAAAAACAAAAAAGGCGTGAGACGAATAACCGAAAAAATCACTTTTCTTTCTTTTTTCCGTTCCATCTAAGAGTAGACGTTTTATGCATTACTTGTGTTGTCGTCGACAAACGCACCGCGAAAAATATCAAGCCATTAATCAACCTCAGAAACAAAAATATTTTAGGTAGATTGCAGTGGCCCTTCACGTGGAACTATGGAAGGGAAAAAAATGGGAGAAACAGTTTGCGCCGGATTTAATGAACCGAACCCAACGAAAGTGTGCCTATAAAGTTTTGCGGGTAAAAAAAAAAAAATAAAACTATAAAAACAATGAACTAAAATGAATTGTTCTCCAACATTCGTTCCGGCGTCTAATGTATGGAAAACAATGAATTACCAAAAAAAATTACATCGCAGAATTTACACCACCATAAGACACAATATACGTGTCAAAATCTGCGTTTTCGAATGTTAAATGAACAAAATCACAAAAATAGTGTAAACAGGATCTTATTATCAGCTGATTTTCTGTCTCTTATCATCTGATTATCTTATCAATAACCTCCTATCAGTTTTCCAAGAATTATCGTTTTTCCCTTATCATCGTTCCATCCTCACCTCATTCACACTCATGAAGAATTCCATCCCCCCCCCTTTCCCTACCCCTCCTTATTGTTTCACAAAATTGGACTCCCAATCAAAATATAGTTCATGTCTAACAAAAAAACGCACACACATACAAGAACTAATTATAATTAAATTAACCGCTCTTGAATTTTTTCGGCCCTGTTGTCTGACACCTGCTTAGCTGGTCAGGAGTGTACCATTGTGCAGACATTTTTGGTGAAGTTTTACGTTATACATTCATCGGCCAAGAAAACATAATGAAAATCGACACTTTTGTAAAGCCAGAAAATTACAATCGCGTTAACCAATCTACTTGGCAAACCTAGTTGTTCGTGGGTCACGTTTCCCCTCAGAAACAACAAGACGAGAGAACTGAAAATTTCGACACGTTGGCACGTTACCGAATCGGTTCGGATATAAGATTTGGGATTTCCTTATAATAGTTTTCCATTCACGTTCATTGGGCTATGACGTTTATCGCGTTTGTTTGGTGCGTTTACCGTCGAATAGAAATACCGAAGATAAACATCAAAATGTGAGTATAGAACATCCTGACCCTACAAATATAGAACAAAATCCAGCACGGGGTGCACAGGATGTACAGGAGTTTGGAGAATATTGAGGGGAATATTGGAAAGGGGTAACATTACAGGACTTCAGCAATTATTACAACTGAAAGTGTTAAAATCACTTTCAAATAAAGGTTTCGATGTGAATCTGTACAAATGTATATAATGTACCTAAAATTATATATTTTTAGCATAAGGGTTGATCGTTTGTCTCACCTAATAATTTGTTCCCATCATATGATTAAACATTCGAAACAAATGTTTATTTACTAAAAAAACATACAACTCCAGAATGTTATCATATTCTGTATCCAAAAAATGTTAATAATATACTTTATTAGGTGTAACAATAAGTAGGTTTTTAATTTTAAAAGTAAAAAATAAAATAAAAACAGTAAAAACTTTATACAATAAAACTTTTTTGTGTTTAACCTACACTATTTAATAAATATAATACATCAGTCTTAAAAAAAAGATTGTATTGTTTTACCATTTCATTATTATACGGCCTGAAAAAAGTGGTGGATTTTTTAAAATTTATTTTTTTGGAAAGGTTTTAGATGCTTGATTATACTTTTTCTTGCTAACGTACGATTTAGGCACATTCTTTTAAAAAAGATATATAGTTTTGAGTACATTTTATTTTTGACATCAAACAGAGAGAATAAAATAAATATATTAATGAATAAAACATATTTACTTTAAGGAGTGTTATTAATATTTTCCTCTCCGCATAATCGAAAAACGAGGTCTGTTTTAAATACAATAATTAAATACTTTTTTTATTTACTAAAAATTTAATCGAATATAAAAAAACTTCCGTTTATAAACTGGAATATAAAAAAAAAAAAATTAATTGTTTTTACGTTTCAATTACTATTTATAACCTTTAAATGTATTCATTTAATTAAAACAGGCAAAGGTAGGTTTAATTTGAGAAGCTTATAAAAAACTACTCGAAACGGCTATCAACTAATATTTCATTTTAACTAAAAGAAAAGCGCAAAAACTTTTTGACCGAAGTCAATAATGTAGGACTTAAGGTGTGGAAATTAATCCGTAGACCTAAAGTGGGGTTATAACAAAAATCTTCAGTTAAACTTTGCTCTAAATTATGGATAACACAGAAAATAGAGGACATTACACTTTGTGAATTTCTACGTTGCTATGTGTGAGTTTTTAACATTGAACGGGTATCAGAAAAATATTTTGATCGAGTTGTTGATTTGCCCGTTGATACCAACGGTGACGAATATTATTAAGAAAGACAGACCAGATCAGCACTAATCTTATTGTTCCTAGTGCTGAAAATACATTTGTATTGTCTTTACATGGTATTATTATCGATTTTCGTACTGCTATCATCTCTGCAAAACGGCATTGAAGCGTTTATTTGAAAATGATTTTATCAGTTTCGGTTATAAGAATTCCTGTAGACCCGGACCTCAATATTATCCGTCTCCATTATGCTCAGACCCCAGCGTACTGTCTTTTTATTTTAACGGCGTTGTAAAAACGGTATAATATATATATATATATATATATATATATATCTGTAATAAATTCACATATCTTTTGGTTTTATAACTTTGTTTTGTCCGGGCTCTCGTACACTATCGATCGGTCGGTCTACAGCTATATGGACGGCTGTGTGGCGTCAGTGTCGGGTGTTTGACATGTTTATTAAAACAGGCATTCAACACGTTCACAGCACAAGGTCGCCCAACGGAAAACTCATTAAAAGTCATTTTATTAGAGTAGCTTAACACACGATCGAATGGCAGAATGTCTCCTTGTGAGCTCCGGCAGAGTATACATGGCGCCGGCCTGCCGAACGCATCGCAGTGTTTTCCAATGTTAATCAACTCGACGACCCCTCGCTTTTACTAAACGTCCAGACGAATAGAATGCAGTATACAGTATGCCCCATGAGTCCAGCAAATTATATATAGCTTAATTTAACAAACAAACAAAAATACGAAATCAATATCAATAATGTATTTACACAGACAGACACGGAAACAAGTTTTTGAAAGTCAAAATGGGTGAGTGATCTTTTATTAGATAGAGAGAGACACACACACAAAATATTCAGTATATTTTTTTGTGATATAGGACTAGGGTAGATTTATAAAGACCCGATAAATACTATTATAATACAATACTTAATGCACATTTAAATTTACTCAAAAAAAAATTCCGGTGCTCTTCAATTCTTCAGAACTGCCATCTCCAATGCTTGGCTCGCTAAGTGGTCCTACCTTCCTCCTAACTTTGCAAAATGGCATTGGCTTGCCATCCCTAGTTCCCTAAGTTATCTTTAGTTCCACCATACTGAAGTTACTCCTCAAATATAATTCCTCTTTTTCGTAACTCACAGCAGGTCTAAAGTTTTACCTACCTAGCTAGAAGCTAAAGTGACTTTTTCTTTCCTAAATAATCCTAAATTCTGGTGGTCTCATATGTTTTTCATTAGATATTGCTTTTGCAGATACTAGATAACTGCTATACAAAAAACTCTTTATATTCTTTTAAAAAGTCCAATTTGTGAATATTTTTAATTTTTTATGAATTTGGAAGCTATTTTTAACGTTTAGTGCAAAAAAGGAAGAATACAAAGCAGCGTTAGACTGGAAAATAGAATAAGACCTGTCCTTCTTGCATAAAACAATTTAATTAGTTAAAAAATTCAACTAAGCTACTAAAACATTTAAAAAAAAAAAAACTTTGAAAAAAAGAAATTGTTAAAACCTGAAAAACAAATTATTTTATAAATATGATTTAGTTTTTTTTTCTTAGTAGTATAATTACAAATAAAAGTTCACTTTTATATAGGATATTTTAAATTAATAAAAACTATAAAAGGATGAAATCGAACACTCCCTTTGCTGACCTCATCCATAAAAAAATGAATTACTGTAATATAAAATGGAAATATGTAATAATAAATCACCACGGTGGCAATTTACTAAATTGCTTCATTGCACAATTTAAACCGATTTTATAGGTCAATTGGGATAAATGCATGCAAATAGGGCAAATGTGATTATACTTACGTTTTTTTTTTAAATAATCAATCCGTTTAAATTGAAAGCTTTACTTTTTTAAGATACTTCACATGACCCTACCTAATTCCAGATCACATTTAATACTTTTTAATGTATTGTATTGTACTTTAAAATCCGTTAAAACTATCCATATGATAAAACCAAATTACGTCAGGGTTCAAAATATGTTAATAAGATAAATTAAAAATTATACTTAATAGATTAATGTTACCATATGTTCCGTTGTATCTACGATTGATATGTATGAAAGTATTAATTGTATATTATAGTAATATGTATCATTGTGATTTTCTTTCAATTGACATTATAGCTTTTGAAGAGCAGGTAATTTATCATTTCTAAACGTAATTTTGCTTCCAGTTATCCTAGCTATCTTTTTAATAATAATATACTGTGAAAGTTTACAGTATCAAAGGACGAGATTCACGATATGTTTCTAAAAAAACCTAGTAACGTCCATCAAACGTCAGTAAACCGGGAAATTCTATACAAGCGTACCACCCGACGAATAATCATAAACCTTTATACTTAATACCGAATGATATATAATTTTTTTCTAATGTACAGTACATAAGTACAACCACATTAGTATTTAAAGAATGTATTAACATGAATATGTTTAATGGCTGCAGGTTAGTACAGTATTTAAGAAGACTTTTCAGAACCCTTATCTCTTATCACCCCTCTTTAACACACTTCCTTATCTCTTATCATTCCTCTTTTTTACCAGCCTTCTTTATTTCTTACCACACAGATATAAATGAGAAACTAGAATGATAACTAACATTTTGGAAAGAAAGTTTGGTGACACATATTTTCCACCATCTTAGTTGTGAGTTCAGGGTAGGGCTCCCTATTTCACGTGAATCCGGCTCACGGATTCACGTGAAATGAATCACGAGTTTATAAGACCCGTTATTGGAAATTGTCCGTGAATTTATAATTTTATTCACGTGATTCAGGTGATATTACGTGATATCACGTGAATAGGATTAATATACGTGATCACGTGAATTTCGTACAACGAATTCAACGAATATTACTTTTATTCACGAGATCACGGAATCGTGATCACGTATGTATTACTTCACGTACGAAACCGAGACCCCTAGTTCAGGGCAATTTATACAAAGCCCACAACCTAGAATGACCGGTTTTTCGCGCTACCTATAATCAAAAGTTAGCATTAGAGTTTCTTGTCTATAACCGTGTCTTATCATTTCTCCTTATTCACTCATCCTAATTATAAACTATTAGGTTTGGTTAAGTATTCATGATTCAAATGTTTTTTTATTGAAAAGGAAGGGTATTTCTTCTACTCTTTCTTTGTCTTCCAACTATATTCCTAGGACATTGGCAAGAGCTTTTGGTCTAGATCTTTGATTTTTTTCCTTTTCGATTTACAGTTCACCATGTTGGATGATTATAACGCGACGGACACCGCCGTCAACGACACGTCAACATTATTCACAACGGCAATCGTGGAATCAGTATTGAGCACAACCATGATGACCGATGGCCCATTGGCCGACAGCGATGCAGTCTCTCCGGTTACCTTAAGCATGGAATGGAGCAGGGTGGCCAGGTTGTTGATCATGATAGGGCTGTCAGTGATTGGCAGCATTGGCAACGTGTACATGATCAGCTCGGTAATGATCGAAGATCACCTGAATAAGAGAGGTAAGATTTTATTAAGTCTAAAAAGAAGTAATCAACGCCTAAGAGTAATTGATAGTAATAAATAGTAATAGATTAGATAAAACCAGATAGTGCACTTAATTGTAAAACAATAGATTTTCAAATAACGATTTTTGATTAGTTTACTCTTAATGCAGTAAAGCCAAAAATATTGTACACGCTATTACAATAATAACGTAAACTGATAAGAAATTCTTGTTAATTAACGACTGTTGATGGTGATAATATTTCTTTGACCACATTGTATAACAGGAGGATTATCTTTTTTCATGTTTTGGTCACACTGGCCTGAGAGTATAAAAGTTTTATTTACATTTTTTGATTTTTTCTAAGTGCACTATTTGGTTTTATCTAATCTGTGGTAATAGATTGATTATTTTTGTCCACTTCTTCCGACCACACAGTCTAAAATAATATGTCTATTGATAGGCTGTCTAGCTATTGCTAGATTGTCTTATCAATAATCTCATATCACCACCCCCATCCTCACCTCTTCCCCATTTAAAACTAAACCGAATAAGGATTTTTGTTTGTTATAATTATTTATGTTGAAAGAGGAGAATAGGGAAAAACTGACAATTAGTGACATATCAACTTTTTCTATCCTACCACAGATTTGATAAAAACAAGTATACTGTAAAAGTATTAAATACTTGAATAGTATTAAATCGGTTCGGTCTAAGATATTTTCAGGTTTCATTACTATTTTAAAGTATTATTATATCGTTTCAATTAACTACATACATATGTCTAGAAACAATATTTTAAGTAAACCTCATAAATCATTTAAAAACGTTTTTTAATTTAGATCGTTGTTTTAAGGCCTCGACACTAATATAACAGCGTTAAAGTATTATTTTTCCAACCTATTAAACAAGTTTTAACGTTATTTTCTTATCTTAAGTCATTAATTTTCACGTCTTAAAACTATTATATTACATTATATACTTAAGTATAAATTTTAACATCCGAAATATACCAAATTAATTTATACATTTTTACAGCCGACCGAAATTAATCATAATTTTCACGCCACGCCATTCGGTAACTAATAGTTTAATAATTAATCAAAGGTATATATATATTTAAAGTTATATATTCTCAATTAAAAACGAAATAAACAATTATAATGTCTGACAGTTTGGCAGAAATGAATAATTATTTTAAGTGTATAAAGAATGAACATATTGTCTTAAAACTATACATTAAATACAACCTATTGTAATTTTTCTATAACTGAAAATATATTAAAATCAACAAAACTACATTTTTTTTTATAATTTGCTATGGTGTTATAATTAAGACTTAGCTGTCAAATTTCAAATACAAACACAACATTATGTACTGTTATACTTTATACAGTACTACTAGATAACCTATATAAATGATTATGTATATGTATACATTTAATGAAATTAAAAGTGAAATAATGTTGCTTACGTTTTCAAAAATATCAGTAAGTATTTATTAAAATTAGTATAATATGTTAAATAAAAAAAAATTTTAAATAAAACAGAAAAGAATAAATATTCACTCTTAACCATTATATTTATAGAATTATAAATTAACTAACTCGATAATATTTACTGATATTTTCGAAAGCGTGAACAATATCGTGCCACTTTTAATAGTAAAAAAAATATATAGATTGTTGTTTGACTTTTTAAAGTTACCCTTTTAAAACTACCCTTTAAAATAATATTGAACACTAAAGACTAAGCTTTGAACCGAAACCGAACTTTTTTATAACACCGACAAAAACCCAAAACCCTAAAAATATAAACGGTTTTTTATGTTAAAAATAAACACATTGTTTATTACATATTTTTATTTTAGTTTATTTTAAAGGAAACCGCAAAAATGTAACCAAAATATATATTATGCTAAGAAAATGTATTCCTAGTAACGACGAAAGAAAAATTGGGGATTTTCTTATATTCTTTGCACACGCAAATAGTGTGAATAAAATCAAATTCACTTTACACGAACACATTTTTATTTAATTTCGGCCTATTGTTCTGGAAATAACAAATAGGGCAAAAAAATCGAATCACGTTCAAGTAACGCTTTCCTACAAATATATGTAGCAAAAAATATCTTCAGACTACATATCGAAAACCTTTTTTAAGAAAAAAGGGTCAAGCGAAAAAAGTAATTTAAAATAGACATTTTATGATAACAGTATTCAGACGACGGGTATTGTGTGGTGAATTTTTCTATAAATATCCTATATACATGTAGGTATTAATCCATCTGACACTCATTTTCTCGGAAAATATGAATATTTTGAAAATTATTCTTTTCCTATACTTGTAGGTTGGGTGTTCAAAGGCTTCTTTTTAATAAGTTCGTTTTAGGAAACGGTTTAAATTACTTATAGTAAAAAAAAAATTAATTCAATAAAAATAAAATTTGGTTATTAAATGTAGTACAGATTTCTTTTATTTAAACTGGTGTTGAAAACGGACCTTAAAAAGAGGCTTGTAAGAAATAATATTGTACACTCATCTTTTTTATTACTACTAGTACTTAAACCAATGTAATACAACTAAATTGCTAAAGCACTAAAATGAATCCGAATTATTTTGTACAAATTCAAATAAAAAATTATAACCAATTGGATTAGATCAATTAATAATTATTCGATCGTTCTATTACAATAATAAATAAACGTTGCCCATATTTTATCATCCACAGATACGCATCGCAACGATTATTTTAAAGTGATTTTATCGCTTTCATTGATAATAATACTTAAACCTTTAACCCCTCCGACCATACTGTGCTGGCTTTTTTTTAAGTAAGTGTAATATAACTTGGTTATTTAGCTAATAGAGTTTAGGTTAGATTAAGTTAGGTCATTGAGATTTGGTACGAATAAATAAATATTTACATATATTATATAAAACTACAAAACCAAATTTATTTTGTCAGTCTCACATCCAACATATTGTGTAAGCTTACACCGCGTGCAAATGTCAAATGTTAGAGGAAAAAGCCTTTTTTTTAAATAATGTTGGTCAGTATACTGTCGGTATACAGCCCTTTCTTTAGCTGTTTAGCATAGTTCAAACCTTATAAAATAATGTGAAAAAAAATGTGTCACACCATCTGGTATGTGTCTGTAAAAAAAACTTTGCAATTCGATATGACGATGGAAGTAATGTTTAGATGTAGAATAACAATAAACCAGTAAAACTAGTAAACCAAGTGTATAGCAGTAAAACGTTTTGACAACTTTGAATATTATAATAAAAACAACAAACGGGACAAACATAAAAATTACAATTTGTCCATTAACTATGTTTACAGTCGCCTTTTTGCATATTAGCTTCGATGTGAGTTGAGAAGGTATTGTTGTGTACAACGACGCGTTCTTATTTTATTTATTTATTTTATTACTTCTTGTCTATGGACTATGGGTTATAAACAGTACCTGAAAGATACTTTATTTGGCTGTAAATTTAAAAAGTTCACCCCCTGCCTATCAAAATCGAGAAAAACATCCAACATATTTACATAAATTTCAACTAAAAATAAGATAAAGTACTATCGATAAAAGTTTACACCCCAAAAATACATCATAAACCATTTTCTCTAGAACAGGTGAATTCCATTAATTTATTTCACGTTTTTAGGTTTGGTTTTAGGGTTTAAACTTTGAAGTCTGAAAATTAGACCAAATGTATACTTAGTCGAACGAGACTGTAACAAATATAATTTTTTTTCAATAATCTGTAGTTATTTGTTTTTTATTAAGGAAAAACAAAAAAAGGAAAAATCTACTCTTTAGTCATGACCAGGCTACACCACAAGCAATGCACGTAATTTTGGTCCTTGACTTTTTTGTTAAGAAGTTTCGTATATAATACAGTAACCAAACCAAACCGTTGAGGAGTAGTTAATTTCACTTAATAAATAAGAATCGTTCACTTCGTTATTAAGTATTTTTTGTAAAAATATAAGGGGAAAAATAAATTAACTTTTTTTTTTTAACTTGTTTGTCTTCTATCGACTGAAATCCAAAGTTTAAGAAATTATTTTCGAGTTTACTATTCTCACTGTTCTTAAGAATACTTTCATAACCCAAGTATCGTTGGTAGACTCTGATAATTGTAAATATAATATAATACGAACTTGAGAATTATATTTTAAGCTGCCGCCAAATAAGAAGTATGATATTTCCCAAATAATAACTGTTGCTTATTATATTTGAGAACGCACAAGCATTTTTTAAAGTTAATGGATCCACCGGATATTACTATAGATAATGACTTATTTTTTATGTTGTTTACACGGTATAAAAAAAATTAATTTAGGATGAAAATAAATACCTACGCCTTATAGTAAATAGCTATTTGATAAAAATACAAAGTCTAATTTTTGTCCTTTCTTGATTATAAAAACTAAGGGTTTTCAAAACCGATTTTTTTTAAAAAAAATTTCAATTTATAAAACAATTTTTGGGAAAACTGCTGTGCGGACGGTATCGGTTAGACTATCACTTGAATCAACAGTGGTATTACTTAGTACTTTACTATAAAAGCGGGGCAAATAAATTACTGCGTGAAACGAAATAAAGACGAATAGTGTGATAGAAGAAAGTCTCTATCGAGCTAAGCCTTACAGGATCAGTGGAAAACATTTGCCGGAGAAAAATTACTTGCTTCTAAACTGTTTGTTTGCTCCGTAATAAGGGCCACTCGAGCCGGATTATTTTGTTTTGTTTTATCACCCTTTGGTATTTTACAAGCTTTCTTTTAAATCCCGTCTCAGTACTTAAATCACGAGCAACCGACTAATGCCACAGAGACATATCTCTCTCTGCACGTCGCACATTACACAGTTATATAATTAATAATATATATTGTCAACGACTGTATTTATTTTTTTGATACTACCATTCTCTCTTGCTACTCTTGTTGCTATAAGCCATGATTACGCTATAAAACGTTCATAATGTTTCATTTAATTTATTATCA